TGGTTGATGCGGCGGCGGAAGGGATGGTGGGTTTGGCGGAGGTAATGGGGGTGTTTTTGTCGGAGGATTGGACGGCGGAGATGTGGCGGGGTTTGCGGGGGAGGAGAGAGAAAGAGGCGGAGTTTGCGGCGGAGGAAGGGGTGGTGGAAGGTAAGAAGGAGGTTTTGGTGGGGAGAATGGTGTTGGTAGAAAGAGCCATTGTTGTTGAATTTGTGGAAGTGTTAATGGGGTTGTTGAATTTGGAGTTGTTCTGCCGCCGAAGTTGGAGAGAGAAAGACGGGGTTTAGAGTTGAGGAGAGAGAGAGGAGAGAGAGGGGGTTTTATAAGGTGGGGAAGAGGGGGTAGTTGGAGAACTGTTGGTGTTAGGAACGGAGATGGGACAGGTAAGGAAAGAGAAGAAGTGGGACAAAATAAAAGAGTTTTTAAGTTTGAACTAGGTTTTGGACTCGAGTGATATCCCGAGTTATTACTCCGACTATTTTATAGTAATCCCGTAAAAATTACAAATTTATAAAAGTATGAAGGAGTAGATTTTTTTGCGAAAACTACATAAATAATTTGAGTGGTTTTATAAAATTATCTTAAAATTTTAAAGATTTTATCTAATCAAATATTGAATGAATAAAAATCGCAAAAATATAAATCTAAGAATCTAAGATTATAAAAGAGCTTATATGAGTATTATAATTTAATTTAAAATTTAAAAGTTCAATTATAAAACTAACTACTAAAATATGAGTGTTTTGTGCTCATTTTGATAATAGTTTTTCATTTAGGGCATGTTCACATTTACTTAATTTCAGTTCAGTTCATCTCTAATCAATTCAACTCCTATTTTCCCTCTCTCATAAAAGATTCATTTCAGTGCAATTCAGCTCCTAATTTTCCTCTCTCACAAAATATTCAGTCCAACTCTAATTAGTTCAGTTCTGTTCAGCTCCAATCAGTTCAGTTCAACTCATTTCAGTAAATATGAACAGGCCCTTAATCATCAAATGAATAGCAAAAAACTAACATTAGGTCAATTTGATGTACGGTACATAACTATCATTAAAAGAATAGCAAAATCTAACAAATTTCATATTTTATATGAAGTAATAAAATATTCAAGTTCTACATAGATAATAATCATCACTATTTTTAAAATAATTCAACTATAAAATCTAAAATGAAAAACACAAATTTTTATACCATATGGTGTGTCTACCCCACATATAAGGTAATTAATTGCATATTAAGGATTACAAATCTTACAGTGATGAGTAAGTGGTTGGGGTTACCTTGATGTATAGAAGATTACTTCAATGGAGGAAATATATAGGGTTCCTCTCATAAAGACATCGAGTTATTCTTTCATTAGTCAAAAAAATAAAAAGTAGGGTTACTCAAATAAACAAATTAATGTGTGTCATAATGAGGTTACTTATTTTTTAAATTATTCGACATTATTCATATAATAATTTTTGGTTACTTTTATAGACAAATAGACCACTCTTACAAATAAATGAGATTACTCATTCAGATGAATAATAATTACTCTTATAAACCAATATGATCAGACTGTGTGGCTAGTCACAAAAAAAAATGTAATAAAAATACACACACACACACACACACACACACATATATATATATATATATATACACCAATAGAAAGTTGAGGGTTCGTTTGGCATTGTTGTGGTTTTCTGTTTTTTGGTTTCTAAAAGTATATGATATGTGTGTCATAATGAATCAAAAATTATATAAACTTATTAAAATTATGATAATTTTGAAAACTGACAACAGAAAAGTGAAAACACCTTTTTCTTGTTTTCTGTTTTTGGTTTTTAAAAAAACAGAAAACTAATAACCAAAACTGATGCCAAACAAGCCCTTAGTGAAAAAATTATGTTTAAAAGTCATAGATTAAGATTTTAGGCCCTTTAGCTAGCAGGCAAACTCGACTCGTTCAATAGGGCGAATATAAACAAATTGTCAACCTCGCATAAAAGGGTTTGTTTTTGCTATATTAGGCATGTTCGACAAAAAAATGAAGTATAGGTCGAACTTGTTTTCTCCCAAACCTACAAACAATCACCTCTAATCAAAATCTCACCGACATAATTAATAATTTATATTCACTAATGAATTATGATTGTCATGATTGAATCTCTTTATGTATTTAATTTATTAACATACTTGTATTATTTTGAAAGGACAACATATTATATTTAACTAGTGAGTAGCCCGGGCGTTGCCCTAGGTTGCTACTGTTGTAGACGTGCAATAGGTAATTTTATTAAGAAAAATTTCAAAATTGAAGTTGTCATTATTAAACCAAAATTGAGTTATTCTAAGAGTTTTTTTTGTTTGTTTTTTTTTTTTTCATTGAACCTTGTGATTTGCACATATATAGTTTTCTTTACATTTGACTAGCATAGTTGATATTTGTCTTAGATGGTTAAATAGTCAATTTAGTTATAAGAGGTTGAGGGTTTGAGTCTCCATATGTTTTTATATGGAGTAATAATAGTTTCTTGGGTGATGTGGCGTATGGACTAATATTGTGGCGTCTTGAAATATTAGAAAGATGACATGGCGGAATACAAAAGGGAATACGTGGCACATCGACGTAAACTTTCCCTTAGGTTTTAAATAGTAGTAAACTTTTTTCTTCTCAACCAATGTGAAGTTGACCCTCTCTATTTAGGCCCCGATCTTTTGATTTTTTTCCCCTATTCAGTTTAGTTTAGGTTATCTCGGTTCATTAATCTACTTCCTTTTAGATCTATTCCGCTCATTTCATTTTACCTCAATTCAATCAATAATTCAAAAGAAGAGGACCTAACTATGTTTCTCTTACAATTTATTTCCTTCCATCCTCCTTTTTTTTTTTTTGACGAGTCCTTCCATCTTTCTTAATATGTGTGCAAACCTAACATAAAAATTATTTGGGGACAAAGATCATATGACATAGCGTAGTGTAGAGTTGACAAACATTGTTGTGTCATACTCTGGTCGCGTTCAGGCATTGGAGAACCTCAACATTAACTTGACCCGATCGTTTAATTAAATGTGTCAAAAACCCTCTAGACTAACCCACTTTTTCATATCATATTCGTGTCATATTGCCTAGTTATATCATCATTTCCATATTTTTATTCTTAGACAAGTTGAATCATGTTAGGAATCTCACCACCAACCCATCTTGTTTAATTAGACGGGTCGCAAACCAGTATTACTAGTATCTATTTTTTCGTTATACAATTTGTATCGTGTCGATCAACTTTTGCCAACTCTTAACATTGTGGTTTTTGAAAGAGAGGGAACATTGTGGTTATAACCTTGATGTTTACTTTGATTTACTTATTGAATAAGTATAATGTTATATATAAACATGTTTAGAATCTAGAAACGCTTTTTTTAATATACTCAAGTAGTACAATTGTAAAACATATTTAGAACTTGTATTTCTCAAAAAAAAAAAAAAAAAAAAAAAAAAAAAAAAAAAGTGAGAAGTGGGGATTTAGGGGAAGTGGTGGTGGTAGTTGAGGGTTTTTGTGTAATTTCAGTGTAAATTTAAGGTATTTTATAAATATAAAAATAATGTAGTCTCGCTTCTCACCTACTAATTGCAAGTTCGTCACACTTCTATATTTTTAATTCGCTGGCATTCAGCTGCGCCAACTTATTTGGGCTTAGCGCAAGAAGCCACCATTCGGCATTCGCACACAATTATTTTTTACTGTTTTCTTTTGAGGGACATTATTACGGAGTATTTTGTATTTTATTTTCTCTTTTTTTTTTTGTAAGACAAGAAAGGGCTTATACTTTAAAATTTTAAGTGAGTCATACGAGATTTGATCCCTATGTTTCAGGATATAAAATGAAAGCGATATCTCTAATCCACCACTTTTACCTCCATTGTTCTATACTTTTTATTTGCATCAAGGGAAAAACAAAATATTAATTACACTATACATGTTAGTAATTTGATTTATGTAATTGTACATTTTTAATTTTATAATCGGATTAAATAATGGACAAATAAAGTTATGGAGTACACTCCGCCCATCCCATATTTTCATTAAATTTAAAATAGTTGACTACAAATTGTTACTCCGTATTATATGTAAAATTTTTGTAAAAAAAACATAATTTTGTGAGGAATCATTGAATACCTTACATAGTCATTTAGTCTATATATTCGTTTTTAATATAATTAAAGAGAAAGTATTTTGAAATAAATGGAATAGTTATATTATACGTAGTGTATATATATTCGGCATAATAAAATCAGAGTTATGGCAGGTGCAGTAGTAGTCTGGTATTATTGTATCATTCATGAGCTGAGTTTGAGGGACCAAATTTTATTCAGTGTTAGTTTGGTTCAATAGTTGAATACCATAAAGAATTGGTTGCTTTCGACTATTATTATTTTAAAGATTTCTGACAAGGAGACTAATTGGAAAAGGTCAAACTAATATACGTACGTACATGCACGTTGCAAAAACGAACGAAATTGTTTATACTGTATTATTGATGTAAATAGGGTTTAATTGTTCGATATAAAAAAGGAATGATCTGTAATTTTTGTGGGAAAATTTATGGAAGAAATCATCACATTTTCTTCTAATATACTGTACAAAAGAAGAGATAATCTGTAATTTTTGGGGAAATATCTTGGAGAAAGTCATTGCATTTTCTTCTGATAGGCTATTAGAATGGAGTTCTATCAGAAACTATACTTGTGGTATCTAGGGCTGAGCAGAGTGCGGTCTAGACCGCACCAAACTGCAAACCAAACCGCAATATTACGGTTTGGTGCGGTTTACGGTTTGGAAAGTACGGTGCGGTTTTCAAATTTGACCAAACCGCGGTTTTGCGGTTTGGTGCGGAAATTTTAACCAAACAACACCGCAAACCGCAATCGTAAACCGTAAAATCAATAAATATACTAAAATTTAAAAATAAACTCAAAAAATAAAAAAAATAAACAAATAAAAAAAATAAAAGATCCTAAGATTTTTTAGGGTTACTGATTTTATTTTGCAAAACCTAGTAGCCGACATATTCATCTCTTATCCTCATCTTAGTCACTATCCCTCTTCTCCCTCATTTTTCTTCCTCTCTGACTCTTTATATCAATTTCATAATTTCTACATCTTTTTCTCCTTCAAATCTTAATTATTGTGAGATCAAGACCATTGATTTTCAAACAAATCGACCACCACATGCAATCATATTGTTAATTGCTCGCCTCCAATACAATATTCACAATGAAATCTGAAGTAAGTACGTAGTACTTTTTTTAAAAAAATAATTAAATCTTTGTTTAGAAATCTACAATATTCATGTGTAAATCTTGTGTTTTACATGATCAATTGGTTATAAGCATGCGTTTTATACATAGTGTTTGGGTCCAATTTAGTCCAATTGGGCCTAGACATTAAATGATCCAATTAAAAGCCCAAGGTCAAGGTTCAACTCTCCAATTGTGCTAAAGTCAAAGGTCAGCCCTCAAAGCAAGCCAATTGGGCTAAGGCCCAACCTCTCCATGTATGAAGAGGTATAAAAGCCATCAATATTGACAGATTCACATATTCTCATTCATTCGCATTCTCATATATTCTCATATATTCAAGCAAAGCCTCAAGCAACTAATTCTCTTGCATAGTGTTCTCTTTCTACACATTGTACTGACTTTAGCATCGGAGGGGCCTTCCTCGGCAACACCCCCGAGGCTAGTTTACGTGTGTTTACTGTGCAGGAAACCTTCGGCCCAGCATAACTTGGACCGAACCCAGTCTTCTCCGTTTCAGCGGACCTTCGGCAAGGTCCCATTGTTTTCACCCGAAACAATTTGGCGCCGTCTGTGGGGAAGGAGTTCACGAATCTTTAAGCCAAATTTCTAACCAAGATCATCTTGCAATTATCTTAGTAGCAATGGCTAAGAACCGCAAGAGCAAAAGCCTCCGTCAAGGAGCGGGCGAAAAGCCTAAAACCCCTACACCATCACCCTCGCCGGACCGGAACTCTCCCAAGGGTGCCAGCTCGGGGGGAGGATCATACAAGGAGGATTCCCTTTCTCCCGTAATTCATGACTCTCATTATAGGCCGAGTCACTCTCGGTCTAGCAGGGGTGAGTCCGATCATAGGACACATTCAGTGCCCCAAAGCCAACCATCGGCTGCGCGCCCTCATTCCCATACTCGGCCGAAGACCCCTTTGACGGGGCCCAGCTCGGAAGAGGTGGCAAGAGCGCTGGCAGTGCTCATGGAGGCGATGAGGGCACAAAATATGCCACCACCTCGTGATCGAACTCCTCCGCATACCCGGCATCAGCGGAGGAAGTTAGACCATGATGGTGGGAAGCTTCCTTCCTTCCGGGAACTGGAAGAGTGGGAAGAGGATTCCTGGAAAAATGAAAAAGAGAGGAAAAAGAAACCTCAATTTTTAAAAGGATCCTCATCCTCAAGACCAGAAGCGCATAAGAGCAGCAGCTCAGCTTCTCGGCCAGAATCTACTCACCGAGAACCTGAGACTGTTCGCCGAAGCGTCCTTGACCGACTCGGCGGCAAGGAACCGAGCGTGCGCAGTCGCCTCTCATTCCCTGCAGCCGAGGCCCAGACTTCCCAGCCAGGGACGAAAACCACTCCTACCTCTCTAAGAGGGCGGAGCGCGGTCCCTTCGGCCAGGAACAAGGGCAAGGCCGTTATGCTACCCGCCAGTTCACCATTCGAGCAATGGATACTGGAAGAGCGCGTACCCACGGTTAAAATACCGTCGCACATCACATACGACGGGACCTCGGATCCGAAGGATCACGTGGCCTCGTATGAGACTCATATGCATCTTTGCCCCAGATCCGAAGCGACTTGGTGCAAATATTTCCCAACCACTCTCAAGGGGGTCGCGCAAACGTGGATCTCCAAGGGAGTAAGGCAAGGCTCCATAACAGGGTGGGATGATCTGTCCTCCAAGTTCAGGAGCAAGTTTTCCACGACAAACCGCCGAGAGAAGACTACTGCAGAGCTCATGAGTCTACAACAGGGGGAAACCGAAAGCCTCCGAGACTATCTGACCCGTTTCAGTAACGAGTCATCCAGCGTCTCTCAGCTGGACCAGGGGCTAGCCGTTTTTGCAATGCAGAATGGCCTTCAGCCCGGAAAGTTCCTAGACTTCATGGTCATGCATACCCCGCAGACCTTGGAGGAAGCTCTGAATGCCTCGGATAAGTTCATCCGAGCCGAAAAATGGAACAAAGCGAAAACCCAACCTCAATTTGGGGGAGGGAAACAAAGACAAATACCCTTGTCTGAAGGCCAAGGCCATAAGGCAAAGGGAAAGTCAAAGGCCTCGGAGCAATCTTTGGCCACCGACCCAAAGAAGGAAAGATCTGCCTCATACACAGGCAGATACGAGTCCTACACTCCGCTCTCTCTTCCACGCGCCAAAATTTACAGCGTGACGAAGGAGGAGCAGAGTTACCGAAAGTCGAGACCACTTCCAGAGTGGTATCAGCGAAAAAATAAAAATCAGTGGTGCGAGTTCCACGAGTCTTCGGGACACAACACTGAGGAGTGTATCCAACTGAAGGACCAGATAGAGGACATGGTCCGGAAGGGATACTTGAAAAAATGCATCGCGGATCACCGCGAGAAAAAAGAATCCGAGAAGTCAGCAAAGGACTCTCGGCAAGACCTCGACTTCCCCCGGAAGAACAGTAAAAAGCCGGAGGAGAAATTCCCTCCGATCAATGTTATCTCGGGAGGAATATAGTCTCGGAGGGAGCACAAGCGACACCTTAGGGCTTTGACTCACCAGGTGAACAACGCTGACATTCAATCTCCCCAGTCGCCGGTGCCGAACATGACGTTCACAGCCGCCGACTGCCGGGGGATTACGTTCCCTCACGAGGATCCGTTGGTGATCATCGCCACGGTGGCCAACCACGACGTCAGTAAGGTCCTTGTTGACGGTGGCAGTGGAGCAAACATTCTGTTCCGAAAGGCCTACAATCAAATCAAGCTAAAGCCCAAGCACCTTACGCCGGTACCCTACCCGGTATCCGGGTTCAATGGGGCTTCAACTTATCCAGATGGGAAGGTGACACTTCCTGTCACCATCGGCTGCGATGAGGCAGCCAGGAACGTCATGATTGAATTTTTGGTCATTGACGCTCCTTCAGTGTACAACGTGATTTTGGGGAGACCCATAATTCATGAGATCCAAGGGGTCGTCTCAACTTATCACCAGCTGATGATTTACGTCTCAGACGCCGGCTTCCCCGAAAGGATACAGGGCAACCAAAAGGACGCCCGAAGGTGCAACTACCTCAAACCATCCAATAGTCGCCCAGATGACAAGGATGAGGAGGAGAAAGAAAAAGAAAGAGAGCCGAGCACAAAAAAGCCGAAAGGCTAAGTGCTTCGGCCCAAGGATCTGTACCCAGAGGTAAAGGGCCCGAAAGGGAAAAGGCTAGCTCTTCAGCTGAGCCGCAAGACTCAGAGAGCCAGCCGAAAAACAAAAAGACTGGGACACCTGCCGACATTGGCAGCAGGCCAGATTATGAAGAGTCCAGTCCATCAGCAATGGACATGGACCAACAGACTGAAACAGTTGAGTTGGCCGAAGGAGACGTTGAGAAATGTGTAACAATCGGGATGGACCTTGATCCGAACACCCGTTGTGAACTTATTCAGCTCCTTCGGGACAACAGAGATGTGTTTGCTTTCTCGGCAGCTGATATGCCCGGGATAAGTTCAGACCTCATCTCCCATAAGCTTAATGTTGACCCGACGTGTCGACCAGTTAAGCAAAAGAAGCGGAATTACTCCGCCAATAAGAACCGAGACATCGCAGCCGAGGTCAAAAAATTGTTGGAGGCAGGATTCATCGAACCTTGCCGATATCCAGAATGGCTGGCAAATGTGGTGATGGTTCAGAAGCCCAATGGTACCTGGAGGATGTGCGTTGACTTCACGGACCTAAATAAGGCTTGTCCAAAGGATTTCTATCCCTTTCCGAGGATCGATCAGCTAGTCGATTCGACAAGTGGCCATGCCTTGCTTAGTTTCATGGACGCATTCTCGGGGTATCATCAGATCTTTATGCACCCCGACGATCGAGCAAAGACAGCATTCGTCACGAACGCTGGGGTGTACAATTACAAAATGATGCCCTTCGGATTGAAAAATGCGGGGGCAACCTATCAAAGGCTGGTGGATCAAGTTTTCGCCGATCAAAAGGGCCGAAACATGGAAGTCTATGTTGACGATTCGATCGTCAAAAGCAAAAAACCCGAGGACCATGTAAAGGACCTGGCTGAAACTTTCGCCACCTTGAGAAAGCATCAAATGAAACTGAATCCGAAGAAGTGTGTCTTCGGCGTGAAGTCAGGGAAATTCCTTGGGTTCATAGTCAGCAAAAGGGGGATTGATGCCAATCCCTCTAAAGTCAAAGCGGCGCTCGACCTTCCTGAGCCGAAAACGAAGCGGGATGTTCAGCGGCTCACCGCAAGAATGGCAGCCCTCTCGAGGTTCATTTCCAGAGCTTCGGATAAGGGGTTACCTTTCTTCAAAGCCCTGAAACTTCCGAAAACAAAAGAGCTCGTTTGGGAGGAAGAGCAAAAAGACGCCTTTAAACAGCTTCGGGAGCATCTGGCTCAACTCCCAACGCTGGCTAGCCCAGCTGAAGGAGAAACATTGTACCTATATGTGGCCGTTAGCCCAGCCACCATCAGCGCAGTATTGCTGAAGGAAGAAAGTAAAAGTCAGCAACCGATCTACTTCGTCAGTCATACACTGACGGATGCCGAGACTCGCTATCCTCTACTCGAGAAAGTCGCTTTCGCGGTAGTAGTAGCTGCTCGGAAGCTGAGGCCCTATTTTGATTGCCATCAGATAGTGGTCTTCACTGATCAGCCGTTGGAAAAAGTTCTCGGCAAGGTTGAAAAATCTGGTAGGCTAGCCAAGTGGGCTTTTGAGCTCACCGAATTCAGCATCAGCTACCGTCCGAGGGCTGCCATTAAGGCTCAAGCTCTAGCGGATTTCTTGGCCGAATGCTCATACCAAGAAGCGCTAGACAGTGAAAAGAAAGTCTGGACCGTGTTTACGGATGGATCTTCCACCGAAGACGGTTCGGGGGCAGGAGTGGTGATAACTTCTCCCGAAGGCAAATCCTTTGAGTATGCACTAAAGTTTTCTTTTAAGGCCTCGAATAATGAAGCCGAGTATGAGGCAACAATCGCCGGCCTAGAATTGTGCATCTCCCTGGAAGCCGATCATGT